TGGATATTTGATTTTGGGAGGTTGGAGGCGACAACTTGATGATTTTGTGATTGAGATCCAAGGGAGTGGCCCTTTTCTCCAGAAAGTGTGTGGCTGCTCTCTTAGCTTAGGAAACTAGGTCTTTTGATTTAGGTTCTAGGAGTATTCTCTGTAATAGGAAGAAGAAATGTAGGCCATTGGATGAAAGTAAATTAGTGGCTATGATTAAGGGAGGGGTTTGATGGGTGAGAGAAGGGTTTGGGCTAAAAAAAATTGGAAAGAATGGTCCTTTGTCTTGTTGGGTCACTAACATCCGAAAATGAGCTCCTAATTGGCCCAAATACAATTCTTTCTCATTAAACAACAATAAAAAAATTAAAAAGAAAAATACTACCACAATATACTAATCAATCTTAGTTAATAAGAATAAACTACTAAAGTGAATTATATATTAAAATGAAAGAAGAAAATATTTTTTTGGTATTTTCTTAAATGTTATAATAAAGTAAAAAAAATAGAGAAAATAGGCTAAGGTCATGGTAAAATTAAAATACTATAAACATAAATATACTAATTGACCTTAAACTAAAGGTGAAAATATTTTTTTGTTTTAAAATTTTAATTTGAAGTAAAAATTGACTAAAACTCCATAGAAATTAAAATTAAGTTAAATAAATATTTTTAACACTAAAAATAACTCAAAAACCTGACGGGTAAAAAATTACGTGCTTACAACCATTATCGAAGAGCAGGTGTTCGGCGAAATTTCACACACCGCAGTGAGCTCCGGTATTCATGATCTTAATGTTATTGGCCATGAGGGAGGCCACTTTGCAACTACAATAGCCAAGTTGGACGACGATAGCTTCTGTGAAAATTGCAGCTTGAAAACCAAGGTACCTTATGCGATGTTAAATGATACAAACTACTCTAATACTGAGGAGGAGGAAAATTCACAAGATACTCCTGTAGCTCGGGTGTTTGACAAAGCTCCTCAACGCGATATATCTGGTTTTATAGTTCCTTTTGCTAGCCAAGGATTGTGGTGTCGAACGCGAGTATGCGATTTGCTGCAATAGACTTTTCACTTGATGGTACCCTATGGTTTGTCTACTTCCCTTGAAGAAAGTTGTGGGGCTAATCAAAATATGCTGTCACTTTACCTTGACTTTAGCTTACACACTTGCAATTGGTTTGCTACTAGGCGGCGTGATCCGCATGAAGCTATTTCACTGTTATTAGTGGCTAAACGAAACAAGGATTGTCATCTGTATTCAGAGCATAGCAAGGATGCAAGAGATACTGGAATACCAATTTCTAGTTATATGGCCAAGTGGTTTGACACTGGGCAGAAATTTAACATTGCTTCAGGTTGTGCATCTCTTCCTCCTATTCCTTTAAGTTTTGTATCAGGTGCCCATACTCTGTTTGAAGCAACAACAAAAAAGATGGGTTATTTATTTGCAAAGTTGTATGATAAGGAGCAATTATATGGAATTGAATTTGCTGTTGAGGCCTTCAATGCCATGTATCTTAATGAATGTTTCCGGGTACTTGAGAATATTAAGGTTCGACATATTGACAAATTTTTTATGGAGTATGAGCATGACCTTCCAGTAAAAGTACTTCAGTCTGATGATGACAAAGAGAAAATCTTAATATTTCTCGTGTCAGCAAAGTTTATGCATGATATTTTGGAGCATAAACTGGGAAACCAATTGATGGATGCGCGAAGGCAACACAATATGACGATTTTGAGTTCTCCTGCTTATTTTGTGTGCAATATACTCGCAAAGACAGAGTAAGCCTTTCGCCAAATAACAATTCTGCTTGGAGCATGAATCTGCAACCCTATTCTTGTTCCTCAGCAAGTTTCATTATTTATCTCACCTTTTTAACTCTTCCGTTTGATCATGGTATACATGATATTCCTCTACCCTATGGAGCCAACGTGACTATGTTTGCAGATAGTAGTTTTCCTTCAACTTATGTTTTAATAGTTGCATTGTGGGGTGCACAAGTTTGTGGCCTTGGGCTGAAACATGTACGTACCGATGAATATGAACATGTTAGTAGTTCCCAGGAGGTTCTCTTAGCACTTAATCCTGTTAGTCTAGTGCAACATATGTGGATAATGTAGTGGAATGTGCTACTTGAAGACATGGGTCTAGATTGTGCTGATATTATTGAGCTTGAGAAAGCTAGGAAATGGAGGGATCTTGAGCTTATCCCTTTAATGAATTTTACATCACTATTGGTGATGCCAGTAGTTAAATCAGCATTAACAATCACATACAGTGAGGAGCATCTCAGTAGAAGATACTATGAAAGAGACAAGTACATTGACATGGCAGAGAGATTAAGTCAAGCATGGAGATTCAATGTTCAGTTGTTAACTGGAACCCCTGCAAACTTTCAAGTGCACACTGCTTTACTAAAGCCTCATACAAATTGTACATCAAACTTTCTAGTTGCTAGGGGATGTGCTTATGCTCGCCTCTATAATTACGCATGTATCTGCAGGGTATGTAACAATCGAGAAGTTATTCTCTTGGGGGACATGGCACATACAAGTGGCTTGGTTGCTATTGGGGGTCATATTTTCTCCTTTCAAATACGCAATTGTTTTTATATGTGCTATACAGTTTATGGGTGCTAAAGTTTGCACTCCAGTTGTGTTGGAAAAGATCTTGTTTGTTTGATAATGAGAAGCACATATTTCTTGTTGTTTCCATGTTGGTTGTTGTTGCAAGAAGTATACTGGATCACAAGCAATTCCTTGGCAACATCGCACAGTTTGATTTGGTTGCAATTGGTGGAGAGAATGCTTCTAAAACTATTCTTGACTCTCTTGACTCGACCCTTGAGGACAAGGTGAGGACGGGAGTATGGTTATGAATCAAGCTCAGCCCAATATCACACAGGTAACTATTGGGCTGAGAAGAGCTATTGAGCCGAAAACAAGCAATTTGACCAAGTTGATTTGGAATCCAGGTTGAGTATTGGTGCAAAGAAGGTTTTGTTAAATAGGGATAGTGGTCGGTTATTTTGGAGATTATGCATATTGCTGAGAAAAGTATCTGCTTCTCCTCGTCTCCATTTCTCTGAGTCTAACCTTCTCATCCCCTTCTTCTATCTATCCCTAGTTACTTTACTTCCTGTAGTTTCTATTGTAATTCTACTACTAGGTCGTTGCATTTTGATATTTGAGTTGTAATCACAGTTCAATCTTACCAATAGAGTGGAGACGTTTAGTTATTGTTACTCTGAATTTGAGTTCATTACATTTTCCCTTCTCTTGACAGGGAAAATATTTTCCTCTAATTGGAGAAAAACGAATTCATAAAGAAAATATTTTTTAAATAACCAACCAAACATGAAAAAATTAGAAAATATTTTCTAGCTCATGGGTCAAGGTAGAACTCTAAGATTGAGCATTTTCGTGGGTCAAGGTTGGGAATCATCATTGGCCCAATTGGGCTGATAATTTTTGATGGTTTAACTTGGGCTAGCCCAAAAAAGCCCATTTTTAAAATCGTTAGAGCCCAAACCCTTTAAAACTTGGACGGGTTAGACAGATCAAATGAGTTTGGATTAGTTTTGCCACTCCTAACAGTATACATCTCAACTTTCGTATTGATGGAGTCAGCCTTAATCTTATAGGTAGAGCTGAATATCCTCATACCAAGACATTTACCTCTCCTCGATCGAATCTTAACTAATACTCGGGGTGTGGATTTTTGATGAACCTATTTGTTAGGGATGGCAATAGGGCAGGGCGGGGCGGGGCGGGGCAGGGCAAGCCTTGGCCTGCTAACATTTTGACCCGCCATGCCCTGCCCCATTTAGTATTTTCTCAAATTTTTGCCGTGCCCCGCTAAGCCCTGCCCCGCCCTGTCCCGTTTATGTTTGTTTATCATTTTTCTTTATTTTTTCTTTTGCTGTATTCTAAATTAATTTTAAACTTTTTCAAATTTTTATTTGAACCTCATATTAAAAGAACCAATTTGAACTTGACTATTTTATTTTATCCTTGTTCAATAGTTGATCTCTCATTCTTATAAATTATTTACTGAAATAGTTATTTTCATTACATACATTGTATTGTTAATTTTGATAATTAATCCTTAAAAGTGTTTCTGTGTTGCAGAGATTAATACATGAAGAGGTATACCAATTAAAATGATAATCACTCTTATTTCTACGAAAACACATGAACATCTCGAGTTCTCTTCTGACTTCGTTCTGTCAAAAAATGGAAAGGTCCTTTAAATTAATTAATCTTTTTGCCCGTGGCTCTTAATCTGAACTCTCAACTATTTAATCTATTGTTTCAGAATAATGCAAAAAAGAAAAATGAAGAAAGAATGAAGTAGAGCTTGGTAATTAAGTCACAACCTTAGAAGAAGTGCAGGAAATAAAGGAAAGAAGAAGCAGACGGCAACCCTAAGATTAATAGTGCAACTTCCACATGTTCCAAAATAAAGTTTGCCCTGTCCTGCCCTAACCCACTAATTTTAAAAAAAAATTTAGCCCCGCCCTTCCCTGCCCTGCCCCATTTAGAGTTCGTCCTGCCCCGCCTGCCCCAATTGCCATCCCTACTGTTTGTGATGAATAGAGATTTAATTCGTATTTATTGACTTGGTATAAATATTAAGATAAAAAAATTTTGTTCCTCGGGAAAGATCAGACCGTTCTAAAAAACTAATTTTGAAAATAAACCTCGTGAAGGGACGTAATCAATAAAGAACAACTGAACAAGCAATATTGAATCTTCTTTGAACAAAATTCTCACTTCTTTACTAAGATTTCCATTCCCTTCTTAGGGGTAGAATCCCCGGCAAAGTATATAAGGTTACCTGAATCTAAAATTTAAAATGAATTGAATACAATTCAATATTTTAAGAAATGATTAAAATTGAAAGTTTATTTTTATAATTTGATTCTGCAAAAGTTAAATTTTCATGCCAAATGTGACTTCTAATAAAGTGTTGTGGTTTTCATCTGCAGCTTCCATTTCTTCACTTGTGACTGCGTATAGTGTTTGGAGAAGACACAGTCTCTGCAGTATTTCCTACTCTCTCACCTTCCTCGGCAGATTTTCTGAATAGCAAGTAATAATTAAACATGTAAATTAACACTGATGAAAAACTTTAGTCTAAAAGAGTCAAAAAATCGACCATATAAATTAATCAGAAGATTAGTTAAGAATGATAGAAAACCATTATTAAAAGATCAAGAATAGCCGTTTTCAGTTTAAGTACAACCTACCTATAATTGCAAAATATGTTCTTGAGGAAAAAATATTTTACTATTATATAACTGAAAATTACTTATATCAACCACAAATAATGCTCGCCTCTATACATTACTATACATTACATATTCCATCTACTTTTATGGTCGTCCAAACTTGAAAATTAATGATCTAGAGAACTAAAATAGTTTTGTAAAATATTTTTTTACAAGAATTAATACATTTCATATGGGGAATGATTTTATAGTATTACCAAATAGACTTACATTTTTACAATCTTGAAGGTGGAGCAAGTCGTAACATCCTTTTCTCTGTCGCCTTTTTTATTGTCTCTCAATTTTCTCTTACAACCAGCTTTCTTTTTGTTGGTTTTGATAGTTGAATCTTCTTTGGTCGAGAAAATACTCGTATTTGGGTTTTCTCCAATCGGGAGACTCCAATTATATTCATCTTCAACTGGTGAGAGCCTATTAGTATGCTGAAGAATACAAAGAAACTTGATGAGATAAATAATTAGTTTAACAATTTATTTATTTTGTGAAATTTCTTAGCTAAGAAAAAAAGCAAATATATTCAAGTATACGTCGTGTACAAAGCTCCAAAAATAGACTTAAGGTATGAATCACCTTGTAAAGGTTAGTCATGGAACGGAATTTTATACTCCTCGGAATTCCTTGCTTGATATAATATTTTTTATCTTTTTCGTCTCTTGTCAAAAGTTTCGAACCACTATTGACGTTATAGTCAAGATCATCGGAGAGTCTATCTTCACCTGTGACTCTGTTGACCTCAAACTGATCACCTAAAATGAAAATAATATGAAACCAGATAAGAGAGAATGATATAAAGATACTCCACCATGTGCTTAGGTCCGGGGTTTCAAAAAAATTAATATAAGCCAATTGTCAAATATAAAATTATTTAGGTACCGTTGATGTTCTGTTGTTGTTGGTCAAGTAGTTCCTCCTCGAAAGAATCCTGTTGGCCCTTTCTTGTTTTGCTTCCGTTATGTTCTTCTAGTCTCTCGTTTTGTATCACCTGTAAATCCTCTTCGTCTTTTAATAAATGATTGAAGATAGGAAGTATAATTTGGAATATAAAGAACATGCTCAATGAAAGATTTATGTTAGCAGAAATTAGTAAAATCCAACCCCCCCCCCCCCTCCCAACATTAATAAGTTCAAACTTAGTAGAATTTAGTAAATCTTCCCTCAATATTAATAAGTTCACACTGGGAAGAAATTAGTAAAATCTTCCATCAATATTAATAAGTTCAAATTTGAAGAAAAAAAACATTATAATGTAACATAAATAGACATAAGTTGTGATCAATTACCTCGCACAGAGTAAAAAGAGAATCGAACATCGCACTCTTTGATATGCTCTGATTTATTTGGTTGTTTTGATCTATTTTGTCTTTGGTTGAACGTTTGTGCCTATTATCATCATTATTGTCTATTATGGTACGGCTAGAATTATTCGCCGGGCTATCTTCACCAAAGACTATGTCGCTCTCAAAATCACCTGAAAATCATACATAACCAAATCAAAGGACATAATACATATGAAATGGATCATATAAGTTTGAAAATGTAGATTAGAACTGCATTATAGTGTCTGCCCGATTTCAATTATCCACTCAAAGTGAGTACAAACTTATGTATTGTATTCGACTCAAATTATATAATCGTTGATTTAAAATCTAGGATTCCCTAAAATATACCACTAATAGAAGTCAATTGTAAGATGTAGAATTAATTAATTACCGTGAATGGTTTTTTGTTTCTGTTCCTCATGTAGTGTCTCCTTGGAAGAGCCAGCTTGGTCCTTTCCCATTTTGCCTTTATTGTGTACTTCAGTTTTCTGGTTCTTTGAAATACTTAGACGATTCCAATTGTATTCCTCTTCAGGTGATGAGAGCCTATTCGAACACTGAAAATGCAAGGATATTTGATGAGCTAATTAAAGTAAGTTAACAAACTTTTATATCGTCAAATTTCTAAGGCAAAAAAAAAAAAGTAAATACTTTCAATAATCGTGTACAATGCACCAAATTTCACAAAGAAATACTAAAAGGAAAGAAGGAACAAACAATTGTTAAACAATATTAGAAACTTGTAGAAAATACTTCGGCTAGTCTTCAATTAGCAAAATTACCCTACATTAAATATTTTTTCTACCTTAATTTATATAAGATCGATGAACTAAAACGATTTTTCAATGTAGTCTGTCTAGGTCAAACTTGCAAATGCATATGGAAATAAGTCCAAAATATTACATCTGATACTAGTGATTAAAAATTCAAACAATCTTAGTTTATGGTTCGTTATAGCAAAAGTGGATATAAACTATTTGCTCAAACTAAAAATAAAGAGATAAGAAAATAGATAGAAGGAATGGTTTGAGTCACCTTGTATATGTCAATAATTGAACGAAATTTTATACTTCTTGGTATTCCTTGTTTCAAACGATAGTAGTCTTGATCCTTTTCATCTCTTATTGGAAGTTTCGAGCCACCATCGATGTTTTTATCCTTAAAAGTGCGATCAGAATTGTCTGGGAGACTATCATCACTTGTGACGATGTTGAGATCAAATTCACCTGAAAATTATTTATAACCAAATGAGAGGGTCTGATACATCTAAATATTTAGAAAACTTAACAGTATAAGTCAATATGTAAGATTCTTTAACCGTTGATGTCTTCCTGTTGTTGTTTTTCAAGTAGTTCCTCCTCGAAAGAGCCCTCATGCTCCTTTTCATTTTTGCTTCCATTTTGTTCTGGAGGTCTTTCATTCTGAGTCACATCTTTATAGCTTTCCTCTTTATTTTCGCTAGGTGACTAGAGATAGGAAAATATATTATGTTATATAAAGAGAATAATAAATGAATTATGGAAAATCAAACATTCATGCTTGCAGAAAGTAAAATCTTCCTCCATATTAAAAGGTTCATAGTTGAAAAACAAAGTAAAATCTTCCCCATTAATAGGTTCAAGTTGAAAAACAAAAGTATTATAATGAAAAAAGTCCAATTAGTTATGTTAAGCTCTGTATTAGAAAGTAAATAAGTTTTGGATAATATCATACATCGCACAAAACCAATTTTAAAATTATTGAAAAAGATACTTGAGCTTATTGTTTTCATGAGAAAAAATGCGACAAGAGAAGAATTTATTTATTTACCTTTGGTATGGATTAATGGTTCAAAAAAATTAAATTAAAGTATATAAGTGAATTAAAAAATAAAATTCTACTATGGTGTTGAGTCTGTTGACATAAGTAAATAAACATAAGACATGAATTACCTTGTTGGGGTCAATGATATTATTGGAACTTAATAGTGTACTCTCTGGTATTCCTTGTTGTGCCTCGCAATCTGCATCTTTCCCATCTTTCATCAGAAGTTTTGAACTACTATCAACGTTGTTGTCTCTAAGGGCACGATTAGAATTATCTGCCAAACTACTTTCGCCTAGAACTATGTTGCTCTGAAAATCATCGCCTAAAAATCATGCATAACCAAATTAATGAGAAGGAATAATACAAATGGAATGATATATACACACACACATATATAACTGTAAATCTTTTAAATTACTTTTTAAAAAGTTTTAATATGTATAAATTACCCTTTTGTTTTTGTTTTACAGGTAATGTCTCCTTGGAAGAGCCAGCTTGGTCCTTTCCTGTTTTGCCGTCATTCTGTACTTTAGATCTTTGGTTCTGAATCATTTTCTTGCTCGTATCCTTTTTGTTTTTCTTTTGTGATGGATGCAAATTGAACATATACTGTGAAATACAAAAGACAATATCGACGAGTTATTTAAATTTAACAATTATATGCTCGCACAAAGTAAAATCTTAATCCCCACAATATTGATTAATGGGTTCATAGCTGGAAAACAAATTAAAGTATTGAAATGAACAAAGAGCTTAACTAATTAAATAACCACTAAGTGAAGCTTTCTACTCGTAAGTAAAGCATATTTGGAGCTTAACATATATACACAATTACAATGAAATTATTTTTACGAATTATATAAATGTGAAAAATAAATACTTTGGGGGTTTTTCTGTGGAAAAAAAAATTCCTCGCATAGATTATGGATTAAAAATGAGAAAATTCGTTTTTGCAATCATCGTTCTGCTTTGTGTATCAAACTTAGGTCGAGCATATACTCGAATAAAATTTTGGCAACTCAATAACACACTAAAACATTGATACGTGTAGCTTTCAAATCAAAACTAGAATTAATTGAACATTAAAAAAGAAATCAATTTCAATTCTACTACAAAAGCAAGGGGGCAAAAAGTGGGACCAAACATTTACTAAACCAAGATGAACCAGATACATGTTATGTTCTAATGCAATTGACAGATAAAAGAAGAAAAAAAAAAGAAAAAAAAAGGAAAGATGGTTTCAAAATCATCTTCCAATTTTTTTTGGAGATGGTCCATAATTCAGAACCAAGAAAAAAGTGGAAAAGAAACCACAAAAAGAATGGCTGACCTGAGTTGGTATATCTAGCCATAAAGCACAGTAACATTTGCTAGATTAAACTACCATTTATAGGTGCAAAATCCAAGGGGCAAAAAAGGAAAAATAAAATGACAAAATGGGATTTGGGAATAATCAAACTCACCAGCACATAATCACTGTCTTTCATTGTAAAAAAATGACTAGCAAAAATGGATTGAACTAAGTGAAAAAGCAAAGGTGGCGTCTCTATTGTGCTTGTATGACTCTTCTTGACCGCTGAGCTATTTCTTTGATATTGGAGTTAAATAAAAAAGTAAAATAGTTAGTGTCGTCTCTATTGATTCAAATGTCTCCTCTGGTACTGTTGAGATATCCTCTTGGATGCTTGAATTTAACGAAGAACTAAATTTGCCAGTGTCGCATGTGTATATATATATATACACTCTTGGTTGCTGAGTTGTTTCCTCGGAAACCGTGTTTGTTTAATCTCAACAATTTAAATTTACTCCTTATTGAATAAAGAGATAATTGCTTTTAAAGTGCAACGGTATGAATAGATGCGAGTTTAAACCAATTATTGTCTGAGAATTTTTTTTTATGCGTTGCGGAAATAGTAATATTTAATACTAATTGAGAAAGTTATTAAAATCTATCATTTATTTCTTACACATTTAGTACTTAATTATGTCTTATTTTAAAATTTTACAGTGTTTCATGTGTTTTAACTTTGAACAATATATTCTTCTCAATTTTTGTAGTATTTCACTTTGGAGATTTTTTTTTTGGTTACAGGGAAATATTATTAATAGTACTATTAATAATATTTCACTTTGAAGATTAAGATTCTAAAATTCAAATATAGTATTTTATTTCTTAATAGATTTATTCTTTAGGAAAAGAACTAATGATGTAGCAGTATTCTTATGCTAATTCAACACATATCTACAATTCTAAGATTAGGTCAAGATGAATTCAAATAGTTCTCAAAAAATTAATCAGATTTGCTAAGTATCACTGCCTAATTAATAAGTGTCTACAGTTGTATAATATGACACAAATGAATTCAAATATTTTTTAAAAAGTTAATCAGATTTACAATCCAATTTAAACAATCAGATTCACTACCCAATTTAATAAGTGTCTAGAATTCTTAGACTTTGACCAAATAAATTTAAACAGTTCTCAAAAAGTTAATCAGATTTAATATCCAATTTGAACAATCAGATTCGCAATAAATTCTAAGTAGACTATTAAATTGTGATAAAGATATTATTTATGGAGAAGTTTTCTTACAAGAAAAAAAAATTGTACTTAGTTTGCGTCAAAAGTTTATAATGTTCTACTTTGGGGCCGGATGTAGAAAACATCAAGTCCCCTCTCTACAAATGCTTTTATATATATAAGAGTCAATCTTAAGCTGAGTTGAGAAATATGTACTATTTTTTTCCCAATACAATGGTCGAAGAACTTATGAATATAAATAAAATGAATTAAATGAAGAAACCAATTAATCAGTGTCTTTGTCGTGTTTGAATGTCTTCTCTCAGCTGTTGATTGTTGATTTCTTATCGATGGAATCAAGATCACAAGGGCTTTTAAAATGCAACGATATGAATGAAGATTGTATGCGGGTGAAATCGGGGATAACGCACACCTTAATTTTTCGGTGAATAAAATGAAGTGAGGGCATGAACATACGATATCGCAATCAAAGCTGGGATCTCCTTGTATCGAGGCCCCTGAAAAGTGAACGAAGTGCTCGCCATCAGATCTGATAAAATGATGCACCTCAGGCTCGAAACGAGTTCTAAGACTTCGGAAAGCACAATGAGCGGTTATACACAACGGATAGAGGGCCGTGATATTCGCAACCAACCGGATATCACGGCGCGGATCTCGTTCGATGATGGTTACGGATCAGTAATTAATGAGAAAGGAAGATTTTTTTTACCTTTTTAAGATTTGTATTAAGGGTGAAATTCTCCTACTATATAAGGGGAAAGCTTTTCTTTGATAAGACATATTGTAACATGCAAACCAAGGCAATACAAATTCATTTTTCTACTTTCTAGCTATTGTAAAGTTATTAATTCACTGTTTGTTCTTCATTCACAATTGGGTTCAAACCAAGGGTCTGATCGAGGGCAAAACTACTATTCAACCTAAGTTCGAGCTGGGACGTAACATTACATTTGGTTTGATTATTCATTTTGCCTTTAACTCGTTTATCTAATATTCTTGATTATTTGTGTTAAATCAATCCACATATCCTTAAAACCGCGTACAAATTTAATTGTTATCCGTTTTAAGAGTAAACAATTTGGCGTCCACCATAGGACTAAGGATAATAGTAGTGGTTTGATACAAATCTCCATAACACACTCTATTTTACGCTTGTTCTTTAAAGTCTTAATTTCAGGTCAGCATAAAAATATCAAATTCTCAGTCTGCCCACTTGAACATTGACGCTGAGACTGGCCATCATGGCGAAAACAATAATCTAGTGCCTAGAAATGAGGTGCCCCCTGCTGATCCCAACGGAGTCCCAGTTGCCGATCCGGTCGATGCCAACTCACGGGTGACTATTGACGTCAATCTGTGTAACGACCCGGCCGGTCATTTTTAGAATTTACGCCCCGATCCCCTATTAACTGCTTTCTCCAAGTTTATTTATGCTATTTTGAATTGTCGGGATGGTCGGTTTTGAATTTCGGAGAGTTTTGGGACACTTAGTCCCTAAATGAGAGCTTAAGTGTTGGAAAGTTGACCATAGTCGGAACAGTGTGAAGACGGCCTAGGAATGAAAATTCGATGGTTCCGTTAGCTCCGTTGGGTGATTTTGGGTTTACGGGCGTGGTCGGATTGTGTTTTGGAGGTCCGTAGCTAATTTAGGCTTGAAATGCCGGAAGTTGAATTTTTGAAGTTTCCGGTTCGATAGTGAGATTTTGATCCGAGGGTCGGAATGGAATTCCGGAAGTTGGAATAGCTCCGTAGTGTTTAGTGTGACGTGTGTGCAAAATTTCAGGTCATTCGGACGAGGTTTGATAGACCTTCTTATCGAAAGCGTGTTTTTAGAGTTTTTGGGATTCTTAGGCTTGAATCCGATGAAAAATAGGTGTTTTAATGTTGTTTTGAGCGTTCCGAAGGTTGGAACAAGTTTGAATGATGTTTTAGGATTGGTTGGCAGGTTTGGTTGAGGTCCCGGGGGCCTCAGGTGTGTTTCGGATGCTCAACGGGTCATTTTGGAACTTGTTAGAATTGCAGAAAAATGAGGTTTAATTTGTTCTCCGCGATCGCATGATTTGGCTCGCGATCGCGGAAGTCTTCCCCTTCCTCCTTCGCGTTCGCATTCCCCATTTTGCGTTTGCATAGTAGAACTAGGAGCCGGTGGCTCAGTGGCCTTTTTCCCTTCGCGTTCGCATGGTCAGGAACCCTCAATTTTTCCTCTTCGCGATCGCACATCATTTCTCGCGATACAGAATACCTGGGCAGATTCTTAAAACCCCAATTCGAAGGTTTAAGCCTATTTTCACATTTTTCGAATTTGAGAGCTCGGGAGGGGCAATTTCTGAAGACTTTTGCACCTGGGTAACTTGAGTAAGTGATCTCTACCCAACTTAGATCAGCTTCCATGATTCTTAACTTAAATCTAGTCTTTAAATTTCGAATTTTGGTGGAAATTTTGGGAAAATTTTGGATAAACTTCATAGGCCGAATTATTGAGTTTTGATTGGGTTTTGACATTCGATTTGAGAGATTCTTATATGGTTAGACTCGTGAGTGAATGAGCATCCGGAATATATAATTTTTACCCGATTCCGAGACGTGGGCCCGACGGGCGTTTTGGTCATTTTACCTAATTTCGCGTATTAGCTTAGAATCTAATTATAGAATCAGTTACTTGAAGTGTTATTTACATTACGAAATTTAATTGAATAGATTTGGGCTATTTGGAGTCGGATACTCATGGCAAGAACGTGGTTTCGGGTTGACATTTGAGCCGGTTTGAGGTAAGTGGCTTGTCTAACCTCGTGTGGGGGACCTTTCCCCTTAGGATTGATATTGTGATAATTGAAATGCCTTGTACGTGAGGTGACGAGCGCGTACTTGTGTTAATTGTTGAAAATCCATTTTTTTTTCATTAAAAATAGCCTTGAATTGTGTTCTTCCGTTTCTTGCTTACACTGTTTGGAAATTTAGCCTGTTGTTAGCCTAGAGAAGCCTGTCTACTTGAATAAATTGCTCTATTTGC